AAAAACAAATTAAATTTCTTTATTTAATTTTTAAAAATTTCTAATTTTTGGTTTCTTTGTGGTATCACAATTCCTTCCTTTCAAATAAACCAAATGAATAGCCGTACAAGTTTTTTGCATTACGAGCTCGCGTTATATTTTATGTAGAGCATTTTTTCTGAACCTACTTATACAAATATGTAAACATATAATATTGAAATTTAGTTTTGAAAATATATGAAAAAAAAGCTGAAACAAAAAAAAAAATTGTTAAAATTACAAAAAGTGTAAATTAAATTGTATTCCAATATAATCATTATGATTTTACATACATATATATACACATACACTCCAGTTATATACATAAATTGTACAACAACTGCATAAAAAGCAACATTGTAAAATATAATAATAGTAATAATTATGCCTTTGGCGGTTTAACAGAATGATTGAAATTTCTTTAATAAGCAAAGAAAAGAAAAACCAGAAACAAAAAAAAAAAATTTTATAACGTAACGCATAAATTAAAATGGTGCATAGACCGTAACTTTATGGGTTAACAGAAGTAGAAAAACCAGAATTACAAAAAAAAGGAAAAAAACAAGAAAAACACAAAAACTAATACAATTGAACTTACCATTATAGCAAAGACAAAAAGTCTCTCTTGCCCAAAACAAAGTGTGGAATTTTTAAATTTAAAATATTTGCAATAAATTCGCTCGCACATAGATCATTCAATTGTTTTTAGATTTTTTTTTTTTTAAAATTAAAATGAAATTCAAAGAAAAAGAAAAAAACAATTTTTTTTTTTTTTTAATTTGTAAACATGAAATATAACGGCGCAATCAGCCGCCATCCTCTTACAATATTTTAAATTAAAAAAAAAAATTCATTTTAATTTTTCGTGTTCTCTTGTTGTTGTTATTATTTTTTATTCCTTTTCTATGTTACTCAAAAATCTGTTGTAGATGAAAATAAATTGAAAAAAAAAAACTTCAAATATTTCTTAAGATTTAATTAAATTTTTTGCATTTTGGTTTCGTATTTTTTTTTTTTTCATAAACAAAATTTAAATCTCTTTGTTTTTGATTATTTAATAAAAATATTATAGATTGTAATAATCTTCTAAATTAATATTTATTAGATTAAATTAAAAAATCTGAAACAGAAAATTCCAATATTGAAGAAATGTCGGAATTTAGCTATTTATAACGTGCAAACAATTTTAAATTTGAATAATTTGAGAAAAAACTAATTCAGTCGAGAAAATGCATTACTTCCATCCATTCCTTTGGGAATCTAATAGAAATAGAGTAACAATTACATATTAAACTTGAATAGGACGTAGATCATATTTAAAAAAAGGTTTATGACAGTGGTATTTCGAATTTTAATAGCAGTATTATATTATATTATACTTTTTCTTCAAGTATTTCGGTTTTTACTTATTCTTCCTTAATTACTTTGTTATAATTGTTTTTCCACTTTCTTCAGAATAAGTAATATTTATAAATGTGAATAAGATGTAACAAATTATGTTATATGAGAATAAAATTTAATAGATCTCTTTTACTTTGGAACAATTACTTCATTATAAACTATTTTAACATAAGAATTAAAGATCTACTGTTAAATAAAACTATCGAAAATGCACTGCCAATCAAGATTATTTATGCATTACTATTCCATAAAATACAGTAATTTTCAAAATCTATTAAGCAAAACAGATGAACTCATGTTAAAACTCATTAAGTTTCCTAAAACCCTATGACGCTATGAAACTAGTGCATGAGAAATCATGTACTAGCCCTATGCTCCTTCTAGGAGTGAACAAAGGAAAAAAAAAAAAAAAAAAAAGAAAAGTTCCCTAAAAATATGCAATTTTACTTATTTTTCTCTGTTATGTAATTTATTTTTTTTTTATCAAAAATTTTTAAAATTTAAAAAAATTTAAATTAAGTTTCCTTGAAAATTTAACAAAATATTACAAAATTAATTTAATTATAGTAAAAAAATTACTGGTGCAGTACAATAAAAGCAAAAAATTAAAAATAAAGAAACCAAAAAACCGAGCCTAAACATATGTAAATTATTTTATTAAGAAATTTTACCATGCATCATTAATTTAATGAATTGGTAAATTATTTTCCTCAAGTCATTTAACCATATTTCTCTACTACAAATACATAATTTAATTATTTTTGCTATTATGTACTTACTGCATACTTAGAAAAAATTAAAATAAAAAAAAAATTAAAATTCAAAAAAAAAAATTTGATTTTTTTAAAGCAGAAAAAATTTGTTATTTTTTTGTTCTTCTCTTTTTCACTTGCATTTTTTTTACATCTTCTCTTCGAAGAAGGAAAACATTTTCAAAGAAAACTTATAATCAATACAACTTAAAATCATTTATTATCATCTTTAAAGACTATGCATGATGACTTGCCTTGATGTTATTTTTATACAAGAAAAAAAATAAAGAAAAAAATAAAATATACCAACAGTATGATGAAAATGACATAATGGTGGCCCTGACAAATTTTAGGATATCCGTGTTAAAATGACGATATACGTAAACGCTTAACCATTATAAAATTCAATTTAATTAATAGAAAAATATTTAATTGAAAAATTTTACAAAACTATACAATTAAAACAGGCGACTCTTAGGAGAATAATTACATTTAATGAATATTAATGGGAAATTTATATGGGTTTTTCTATAACGGTTACTGTTCAGTGAGCAAATATTATTTATTTTTAAGGAAAAACATACTGTTATCTTTAAACATTCTTAACATTTTGTAAGCGCAATAATTCACTATAATTTTTAAACAAAGCTGCTTACAATTTAGTTGCTATGAAATAAGATGGTCTAACCTTCACTCCCAAAATAATTTGCTTATTTTGTTAGAAATGTATACAAAATTAGGTCTCAAATTTAATTTTATCGACAAAAAGGTTATTTCCAATATTCAATTTTATTTTTTGGCCTAAATGCAAAATTTAATTTTTTACAGTGCAGCCACAAATTTAGGGTTTAAGGGTTAGGTCACTTTGCTTCTGAGCCCCTTAATTCTGGTTGTATTTGAAAATTTCTAAAAACTCAATTTTAAATAGAATATTTTAAACTGCTTGACATTTAATAACTTTGCACAATCTCGTCTGATTGCAGTCTTCAAATAAGGTAGTCATTACAGTACTGATTGCAATCAGTTTAAAATTTAATCTTTTCTAATATTTTATATATACATAAATATTATCAAATAAATTGATATCACAAACTGAATAACTAATTTATAATCTCTCTTGAAAATATTTCAAATAATTTATTATGTACGTATTAAAATAAATTTTATAAAATTTAGTTGAACAAATCTTAAAAATATGCCTTTAAGGTATATCGTGACATTTAAATATGCACATACACACAACAACCAGTTTATACATTAATAACAAGTAAATGAAGTTAAAATAATTGTGAAGAGATGAAAATTATTCGACAAGTTTAAATTTTTTTTTTACTTTAATAATTGCATAGCTTTATGGATATATTAAGTTTTTTTTTCTCTTTTACTCTTTCAATAAATTCGCCACAAAAGGTTAATAGGTTGATTTACTGTTATTTTTTGATAAGGGTTTTTTTTTGCCTTGAGTTTAATTTTTCTGTTTGAATATTAAAAAATAAAATGTTAAATTATTATATTTAAATATTGGCATGCACTTGATGAAGTCTTAACAGACAGAAATTTTTCTAAATTTAAATTTAATACTTAACACTTAAATTACATTGTCTCCTTTATTATAATTTATTAAAATAATTTAAGTTTTATGAATAAAATGTATAAGACTTGTCGAAAAAATTGGTGTAGATGCGTTAAACTTTTAGTTAATAAAATTCTTATTTATTGCTGTCGTTTTTTTAGAAAAATATTTAATGCTCTCTCAAAAGTTTCTGTATACAAAAACTGATAAAATGAAAGAAATTATCAAAAAAATACAACTGCAAAGTACTAAAATAGCGACAGAGAATCACTAGTAAGTTTTATAATAGCTAATACTCTTAAATTAGCAGAAGAATGGCTTAACACAAAATTTAAATTAAAACTAAATCCCAGAAATAAAATAACCACATAGTCTATTCTTAAAATTGAAACTATTAGAATTGCAGTTGTGAAAATTAAATTTATATTCATAAACCACGCCTCTCATAGCCTAATTTCTAAGATAATTTGATACGTAATAATGAACATAAAAGGAAATATAAGAATTATAAAAATTTAGTTAACCCATTTTGTGACTAACTTGATGACCATTAGTAAAGACACTCTGGGATGTAGGGAGCATGAAGAAAGGTCATTATAATCAAATTACTTACGTTATAGTTTGCGCATTCTATTAAAGAATGGATTGCCTGTGAAGTTCTTTTATTTGTGAGTGGTTGAATGAACCGGTGCCGATATATAAAAGGTAATAATGGTTTGTTGATCTTGCCGGAGTTCTGTTGGCGACCAGTCAGGCGTACGTACTTGACTTAAAATACGTTGTATTTTTATTTTAATTTGCCATGTAATCAGAAACAACAGAAATCCCATCTTAGTTAATATTGATTTCCACACAAAAGTTTGTTAATCACGTCAAGACAGTATATAGTTTAAAGGTATATACGTAAAAGATAATCAATTGCAAATATATTTAAAAAAAATTGCTGATTTCATTTTAAAATTCTCACATTTACGTAAGATATTGGTAATAATATTTAGATATACGGGGTATCCGAGATTCAATTGTATTCCCGTAGCAGGCAGATAGAATGAATTTACATGAACAAATTCCATTGAGTCACGAGCACCTTGAATATGTAATATATATATATTACAGATGTTATAATTTTGTAAATTAAGAATAATTTTTGTTGAAAACTTGAAATATATTTAAAATTTCACAATATTTAACAAAAATTTAAATTTGTTAAATCTAGAATTTAAAAATTAGAATTTGTGTTTTCTATTTAATTTCAGATTTATTATATATAAAGAAAATAAGAGAAAACAAGAGAAAAAAAGATATCAATAAGAAAAGTTTGTAAAAAAATTACAAAATCTACAAAAAAAAAATTAACAGTAAAAATATGTAACAGTAAAAATCAAATATAAAATTATTAAAATAGTTAAAAAAAAAACAGTAAAAAGTATTAAAAAGAAATAAAAAATTTGGATATTTATAAAAAAACTTTTACCATTTGGTAAGTCTTTTAACTTTATTTTTTATATATTAATTTATTTTTTAAATATTAAATTTTATTTAATTTTAATAAAAATTCAATTGACGTATTATACATGATCGCATCAGCATACAAAATATACGATTAAAATTGTATTAAAATTTTTCCTTCTAATCCTCGCTAAATTGTCAAAGAATTGTAAACAGCTAGAACGCTTAAAATGCAGGAAAATAAACTTTATTTTTTTTTAAATATTTTTAAATTTCCTAAGATTTATCAAATATACTTATCAAAAACTCATGACCTAGTTATATGAAGTAAATTTAAAAGCATATTGAGCCAGCCGGTATGTATGAACAGAAAATTTCTTACTGAGTGCAGAATAAAACCCATGATGCATTTTAAGATAAAATAATATGAAAAAATTATAAAATTACACTGAAAACTATAACTTTAACACTAAACATAAAGAAATGTATAAGATAAAATAATTGGATGCAATTTTTAAGAGAATAAAATTGAAATTTAATTTTACAATTAGACTTAAGGAATTTGGGTAATAAAGATGTTGCCGTAATTTTTCCTATATAGAAAAATTAAATATTTTAGTGACTTTTAAACAAAACCAGTAACAAATAAATTATAAATTAAATATGCATAATTAACATAATGTAAGCATAATTCATATAGAAAATCATAAATGAACTGGTTTTTTTTAAAGTGGTATAAGTCCATTTCTTTATATATTCAGATATTTATGGGCTTGCGTATGAATCAATTTAAAAATATTGATCATAATAACATAATTTGTTTGTTTTATGTCTACATAGAACTCTGTTGAAATTGTGATTGTAAATAGTGGAGAGAAGGTGTCTATATAACTCACTAAAATTACTATTAACTTAGACTTTTTAAAAAGTGGACTTATACCACTTTCAAAAAAACCAGTTCATATTTTACTTTCAAATTCAATATTATGTTTAAAAATTTCTCAATAAAAATGTTAATTTATTTTATAAATTTTGTAAAATTTTCTATGTTTTCCTACTAAATTACTTAAATATGTGAAAGCTCAAAGGATTTATAATTTCAAGGATTTATAATTTAAGTAACAAACTTTAAATATGTAACAATTAGATCAAATTAATATTAATATAAATAATAAAAATTTATTATATAAATTTTAAATTTTAATTAATTTAATTCATATATAATGACTAAGACAATGTGCAAACATATTTTTATAGATTCTAATTAATTGTGTATTAACTATATTACAATCGTTTAATTATTTTATTTAGCGATAAAAATCATTAGAGTCAAATTAAATTTTACACCCAATTTAATTAATTCAAATAATTTATTATTCTACTAAGCATAATAAAAAAAATTTTTTTATAGTATACATATTAAGTATTTGTAATTTTTATTTCCTTATTAATGTTAAATAATTATAAGTAGTAGTGTTAATGAAAATAATTGTAAGTATTTTTAATGCGTTGACTTGCCTTTTCACATAAGTAAGCAGTTAATGTAATTTTTTTTTTTTTTTTGAATATTTTAATATATAATTATTATTATATAAATTATTAAATATGTGGAATGATAATATTCTATATACATAATTACAAAGCTATTAAATTTTACTACGAATGAATACTACGAGTTATCGCACAAACAAATTTAATAGGCTTTATCTGGAATAAAATAGAAATAACAGTAATAACTTAAATATATTAATTGGTTTGTATTCAATTCATAACGCAACTTATAATAAGTGTAAGAGATCTAAAAAAAAATTAAATTTTTCTATTAATTGAGAAAAGTTGTGATATTTACTGCTCATTTTTCTATAATTCTTGGGAAAAATTGTGATGTTACTGTTCAATTGTCAAATTGTGATGTTTGCTTAATATAAATTTTATAATTACTTGTAGTATAAGCCATATCCGGGAATAAATTATGTAACTAAATTTTAAATCATCCAATACACAATACCCTGTGTGAAAAACAATCTATACCTCTTATTTCGTACTCTCTTCCCGCTAGACACTCTTTATGAAAGAAAGTAATTAAAGAGTTTATACAGAAAAAAGAGTACACTGTATAGTTTATAACATTTTCATGTTGGTTGCCTGAATCAGTATGTATAATACTTGTAATTTATTTAGCTCTTAATACTTCGAAACTAAGTACAGTTTAACTAATTTTTAACACTGTAACTAATTATATATTATTTAAACAGTTCAAATTTAAATAATATATAATTAGTTAAAGTTACACACTGAAATTACATTTCAATTGAAAGTTAAAAATTTCAATGCGTAAATTGATTTCCGAAAAATTCTCAAATTCATTTCAGCAAATTAATTTTGAAATTGAGAAAAATTCTATAATTTTAAATTCTTGAGAAAAGTTTTGATATTCAACACAACCTGTGAACTAAATGAAGAACATTGACCAAACTTTGACATAACATAAACCAAACAGTAGATAATTCAAATTTTGAAATATCTAAAACTGCTCAAATCGACTTTGGCCATATTTGCTTTTAAACACACTTATGTTTATTACATAAATCAATGCGTAATCTATCAATATTTATTTTTCCTATTATAATTTTCATAACAATATATTTATTTTAACCCATTTCCTTCACTTATACACCGTTGTATTTCCATCTGCTTATCAATAATCAAAATCTTTACACATTTTATAATTAAATAAAATTATATATAAAAAAAATTTCATAATTGAAAAATATTTTTAACAAATTTAACAGCTCATAATATTTTAATAAATATGTAAATCGAAACAAAAAAAAGCAAAAAAAAAACTAATATTTTTATCACCTTTAATTAAAAAACGAAACTATATTAAAAATCATTATAGCATTAAATTTGCATTAAAAAGCACTTTTCAACACACACACACACACACAAATTTCAAATAAAAGCTTGTGTAACAATAAAAAAGTTATGAATCCCAATATTATCCAATGCCTTTTTTCTCTCTCTCTCTTTTATTTTAACATATTTTATACTCATACATACCAAATTCATGGATAAATTCCATACAATTCAATTCAAACTTAAAAATATTTAAAAATAAAAATTAAAACTTAAATAAATTAAAACTGCACATTCATAATAACGAGTTCAACAACAACAAAAACAAAACAAGAATAATAACAAAAAATCAGAAAATTAAATAATCAGAAAAAAAGAGAGAGAGAGAAGAAGGTGGGTAATTCATTTCATGCCACAACATTAATTTACGCAACATTTACTGAAAAATACAGAGAGAAAAAAAAATTAAAAATATTCCAAAAGTAAAATATGAAAAAAAAAAATTTATGGTTTATTTCTTTATTTGGATGACACTGATAGTGGCCTCCTGCATATTATAACCTTAAACCACAAAACGGCTTCCAATCAATAATAAATTTAAAAACAAACAAAAAATAAATTTGCAACAATCAAGAAAACAAAAACCAAAAGAATCCTTAAAAGGAATTTTTAGGCTTAATATTTTTTTTCTTCCTTTTTGATTGCAAATTCCTTTATTTTTATTTTACTTATCTTTTTGAACTAAAATTGAATTGATTACTATAAGTACATATATACAGTATCAGTAATAATTTAGCGGCGAAGCAATTCGATAAACAATTGAAATAATCGAATAATAAAATATAAAATGCAATATTTTTTTTTTATTCGAATAACTTGAAATGCAAAAAAATATTCAATGAAATTTTATTTTAAATTTAAAAAAAATTGCTAAAATTTTCTTATAACTACATGTATACCTGTATTTATATTAATGTATAGGGTGATTCAGAAAGTTATACAACAACATATACCATTGGTTAGAAGATTGAAAATGGGTAAAACTTTTGTTCCAGATTGGGTGTCAAATCTCAAGGGTCTCCGAGTTCCAGGGATTTTGACGCATTTTCAAGAAATTTTTGCTTGCTCAAAGTTTTTGGATTGTAAGGTTTTTGTTTAGGGAAAATCAAATTTTTCACTTGTTTTATTTTTAAGTTTTTTTTTAACCAGATAATTTCGTAAGAAATTTTTTGAAATCTTGAACTTTTTTTTATAGAATTTTTCACAACATTAATTTAAGTCCTCAAACATTAAAAAAAAATTTATATTACAGAAGATATTGTGACCCACAAATTCAATTAAAATCAAACTAGATGTTGATAAAACTAAAATTAAATTCAATTTAATATTTTTTTATTAAAAAATTTTACAAATTTCTCAAAACAAAACACCAAATTCTCCTAGGAAATTCACCTAATCCGGCAAAAATTTATGATTTTCTTCTTTTTTGAAATCTATTTCTATTTAATCGCATATTTCAAATTAGTTGCATCAATTGGTCCTTATACTAATTTATTAATCCCATTAAATTATTTATTTATTAGCTTAAAAAAATTAAATTTTCCTATTAAAAAAAATTTTTTTCCATTAAAATAAATGTCAAAATTTATATGGCAATGTCTTTAAAAACTCACTCCAGCTGGATAATTTTAATAAGTTCAGATGCAAAATGGTGTCTAGATTTCGAAAATATTTTTTTCAAATTTTTAAATTGCACCCAATCTGAGAAAAATGCATTTAAAAATTTCAAACCATATAGGTACCATTTCTTATAAAAATTGGCAAAAATAAAAAACCTATAAATTTTCTTTACCAAGAAAAGTTTCGAAAAAAATTTTTTGATTACTAGATTTTTTTTTATGTTTTTCAAAATACAAAATTTTAGTTTTTCTTTTCAAAAATTTCAAATTTCTTAAAATCAATTTTTGTTTTTTAAACAAAAAATAGGGTCTTTAAAATCTTGACATAGAAATGGTTTTTGGGCAACCTCTTCTGTAACATAAAAACTTTTTTAATGTTAGAGGACTTAAATTAAAGCTTAAGCAGCTAGGCAAAGTTCTATAAAAAAAATTTTAAGGTTCTATAAAAAAAATTTTTTTACGAAATTCTCTAGCTAGAAAAAACTAAAAAAAT